CATATAGAACCATTGATTTAGTATTGATGGAGGAAGTCTATAGTTGAATCCATTTTTGTGTATGTATTATGGGGATGGTGACCTAGGCAGGACCTTGTACATCCTAAGCTAGTGCTGGGACACTGAGCTACATCTACAGCCTAGCTGCTTTATGTATTAAATTACACACAGCTAGTGTTTTTTATTTTCAAATGGTGTATCTGCATAAGATGGGAGTTTCTTTTTGAGAACCTGCTGCTAGACAGAGCAAGCTGGGAAAGGCGGGTTGATGGGGGAGCAGATCTCAATGCAGTCTGAACATCAGATCATTTGTCTGTTTACTCATTCAGCAAGTTACCAACCTAGTACCTAATGTATGCCTTGATTAGATTTTGGAAATACAGCATTTAACAACATGAATCCCTGCCCCCAGCTTTCACTAGAGTGCTAGAAAAAACAAGCTTCAAGGCCTGATGACTTTTGTGTTGTTTTACCGTGGTGTCAGTATGCTGGGGAAAGGGCCCAGAGGAAACCCAGAGACAAACTTGCTCAGGGCTCTGCCTTTGATTAATGCCAGTGTCAAAACAAAACAAAAAACCCCTCATTTCCTTTAGTAAAGGAAAAGAAGCTTCCAAAAACAAAAACAAAAAAAAAAAAACCCACCTAAAAACAGTCTTCATTCAGCAATGAAAATGATTTCTTTAGCAGTATCATTTTATTTACTCGTTTCTCATCTCTCTGCAGTATGCCCGGGGAAGAATGAGGTTTATCTGTATTGTGTAGTGCCAGCACTATTTTAATGTAAAAAAAAGCCAAGTGATTCCAAATAAAGAAGTTCTTTATTTAATAGTTCATTATGAGAAGACATGAATAAGTTCAGAATCATCACTTCATTCTTCTGCCTTTGAGGAAGGTCTAATATGTTGTGTCACTTGCTTCTGGCTTATTACCTTCCTGCACAGTGATTGAACTTATGCCTTATTCTTTTGACTTTCTGCAGTTTTAAAAATGTTTCAGTGTTAACATGCACCATTCATAATGAAACATTTAATAATAAAATAATCATATTGTAAAAAGTAGACGAAGCAAAGAGAGGCTTGTCTAATATGACCAATTGGAGCAGAAACCAAGATGAATTTGAGAATTTGAGTGAGATACACAGCTAGGACTAGCAGGATAGAGTTGAAAACACTTGGATTAGGTAATTGCGACTTAGTTCAAAAGAAAATAAATGTAGCCTAAAAAAAATAGGGTTTAACAAAATCTGAAAACGACAGAGGTGGCACTGTGGCTCAAGTATAGCACTAGAAAAGACACTCAGGGACAGTGCCCAGGCCCTGAGTTTAAGCCCCAGGACTGGCAAAAAGAAAACAAAAAGAAAACCAAAACAAAAAAAAACAAAAAAAAATCCACAAGTTTTTGTCAGGTACCCATAGGTCATGCCTGTAATCCTAGCTGATACTCAGGAGGCTGAGATCTAAGGATCACGGTTTGAAGCCAGCCCAGGCAGAAATAGTCCCCACAAGTCTTATCTCCTATAAACTACTCACAAAACCCAGAAGTGGTTCTGTGGTTCATGTGGTAGAGTGCTAAACTTGAGCAAAAAGAGGCCCAGGGACAGTACCCAGGCCTTGAGTTCAAGCCCCACAACTGGCAAAACAAAAACAAAAACAAAAACTTAGACCCACAGCTATCAAATGTCAAATACATTTCAATATTCTTGAGCCACTTCTCTGTTTAACTTGATTTACCATTTTTTAGTACATAGTATAAATAAGTATATATTAGATCATTAAATAAAACTTAGATGGGGTCTGGGGGAGCTCATTTTTCTGCAAGGCCTTATTTTCTAGTTTACCTTTATTTAGCCACAAGTCTCCTTGGGATGATAAATTGCCATACTAACTTGAGAAACAAAAGAGGAGGTCTAAAAGACAAAAGCTCTAAAAAAAGACATGTTTACAAATCACTAACTATACTATTGTACTCATGAGCTTGGTACTTTCTCAAATATTAAAAACATATTTCTTTATATGGAAGGGAGGGTTTTACTGAAGACTTGCCAGAAACCAGTGACTCCCAGTTGCAAGATCAGAAAACACCATTTCTGTTGGTAACTTCTAGAAAAACACGTGTTCAGGAAGACCCTAGTCAGAACAAAAGATGCAACCGATTGTAGAATTTCAATTATATTAAATTGTATTTGCATCTTCCATTAAACAAGTATTGCCATTTTCTGGTTTTTTTTTTTTTAACATCCAGTGCTTTCTCTTCTTCACCAGAACATCTTTCTGCATTTATTTTAATTATTATTATTATTATTATTATTATTGTGTGTGTGTGTGTGTGTGTGTGTATGCCATTGCTGAATGCTCCAGTACCCGTGCTTGAACTCAGGGCCTCATGCTGTACCTTAGCTTTATGGCTCAAGGCTGATGATCTACCACTCAAGCTACAGATCTACTTCTCATATTTTCCAAGGTAACACTATCTTTGGCTCTGTGTTGACAAGGCAAAATAGGAGTCGATCAGCCTCTAATGAGATGGCCCCAAACAGTGCTGCTGTTCATCAAAACACATGCTCTAGATCTGATTGAATTTAATTGTCCTGAGGACAGTGAAATGAGGACATTCAAATGAACTGTTAAGTAGAAAAAAATTGAGATTGAAAAGCAGCAAGCATATCTCAGGTTACTAGCTACAGAGCTCACTTTTTTTTTTAGTTCTCTCCCCTAGAAAAATCATTTTGTGAATGATTAAAAAGATTCTTTTCAAACATATTTTTGATCAGCGAATATAACAATAGGATCAGCCTGCCCATAGCTAGCATTCTGGATGAAGCGATCGATCTGCTTGGTGCAGAGATACATCTTCCTATAATCTCTGCAGTATCTAGGTTATTGCATTAATGCAAGCCTCATATAGTGAGTTGAGAGGCAGAAAAATTACCTTATTTTAAGCACAATGAGATCCCACTTTGAAAAGAACCACCTACTCTTTTGTGAGAAAAACAGTTTAAAATCTCATGGTAGAAAACTGAAACGTGCTTTTTGAACATGATTCTTTTTTATGAGTCTCTAATTTTGTTTGTTTTCTGATTTTGTAGGTTTTTATTTAAAAAAATAAGTAAACATAATAAGACAGCTGAGAGAGGAGACATCTACTCATCTGTGATTTTTTTTCCCCAGCTGTCTTATCTCAGCCTCTATATTCCTTTAGCAGCCAATGAGAATCTAGTAGCCTGGCTTCTCATTGGCCAGGAGTAATAACCTACTCATTATATTCAGTTGGTGGTTGAAGTTTGCTTCCTTTATCCCCACTGTTTTTAATGATACTTGGCCTAGTTCTCATGTCATTATATGCTTATTGTTAGGGGGATATTTTAGTATTTTGTGTGCTTTGTGTTATATGTTACCATATAATAACTAATTTCAATAAGAGACTGGATAGCTAAGGCACTACAGTTGTCACATTTAATGTACAAAGAATGCTCAGGGAGTTAGGTCTTTATCCTAAAGTCAGAACAAAGCCACAGGGGCAGACCTTCCTCAACTGTTCATCATAGAACAAAGCAGCATAAAATCACACTTTATCTCTGTACTAATCTACAGTTGTTTTTCTGCCCACATATTTCTTTATCCATTGCCCAACATCAAGTTTTCTGGAGGCTCAAGAAGGCAAAGATACGCAGCAGTGGTACTGGGTAGACACTATGTTGAAAATGAACTATACAACTTGTGGGCAGGGACAGGAGGGAAAAACTGGGAGAAGGTGAAAGGGAAGGGGTGACATTGTACAAAAAGAAATGTATTCATTACCTGACTCTTAAAACGATAACCTCTCTGTACATCACTTTTATAATAACTATAAAATATTTAATAAAACAAAGGCAAAGACCTTTGGAATATGTAAAAGGAAGTGAATTGTACCTAGATACTTTTCTATCTAGACATAAGGGTTATGATAAAGAAAATGTTGCATGGATGAGAGACCAAGGCTCTCACTCTGACAAAGCAAAAACTTTCTCAAGAAGTAATAAACACAATGTAAAACATCAGTTAATTACAGAGTAATATATTAGCTTGAAAAGATTTCAAATGATTGGTTGTCAACAAATTCTGATAAGTTTGATCTCATATATCTTGCCTGAGGTGTAAAGAATTGGAATCATCAAATACATTTACTAAGGTTTCAGAGGGCTGTATTATTAGTAGTTATAACGACAAGTACAAATTGACATTTCCTATGTCAGAAAGTGTAACCCTTTAGGCCTGTTATCATACTATAACAGTAAAAAAGTTATTCAGACCTGAGCCAGTTCACACCATGCAAACCTTGGTACTGAGCAAGTAAGGAGGCAATTGTAAAACCTGTTTTTACATATGCATTTGTCCATAATTCAAAAGTACCACAAGTACTGTTTTAAAATATATGTACCACGCAAACATGGATATATAGTGGAGTTACTGTATGTCTTGATTTTTCAAAAAACATTCAATATTGCTACTGGTGGCTCACACATGTAATCCTAGCTACTCAGGAGGCTGAAATCTGAGGATCGCAGTTCAAACCAGCTGGGCCAGGAATGTCCTTGAGACTCTTATTTCCAATTTACCAGAAAATCAGAAGTGGCACTGTAGCTCAAGTGGTAGAGCACTCACTTTCAGCTGAAGAGCTCAGGAACAGTGCCCAGCCCCAGAGTTCAAGCCCCACAACCAACAATTTAAAAAAAAAATTCAGTATTTAATAGCCAATAAGAGAATCTCCTTTTTCTCTGAGTTGCACATTTCCCGATATTCTTCTGAGATACAGTATTGTGAATATATGATTAAGGGAAGGACAAAGGTCTCCAAGTAAAATATTTTAAGTGCTTAGAAAAGAAAATAAATGCTAGGAGAATATAGTTAAAAATCTTGTAAGAGAAGTGCTTTCTATCCACAGGATTAGTTCTCAAAGCCCAATAGCATGAAATTAATAGGGTTTCTTCTAAACATGTCTCTGATATTTTTTCACACTTCTAGATTGAAAAAGAAAAAACAAGCCAAACAAAATGCAGAAACAACCTCAGCAGTAACCACAAGAACTCATCTTGGGAAAGAAGATACAAATTCAGTTATTTTAGAACAAGACAAATGTAACATTGCTGTGGAAGAGGAATGTATTGCTGATGAGAAAAAGAAGAGAAAAAACAACCAGTTAAAGGAAATCAGACGCACAGAACTAAAGAGATATTACAGTATTGGTGAGTATTGATGGCTCTGTTGGAGTATTTTCAATTTAAAAATCTGTCATAATTTTAAGATGGTAAAGTTGCATGTACCACTGTACCACTACTACTACTGGGGTCAAATACATTAACCCACCAAAACCTTGAATTCTGGAAATATAGGCGTATGTAACCATACTGACTACTGGTGAGACTCTGTCCAAAAAAAAAATAAAGAAGCAAACAAACCACACAATTTTTAGAGCATAAATAAGCACAATTATAATAGTATGAGCAGATAAGCAGTAGTTCCATACCCCAGACTCTTGTTTTATATACTACATTTGTAAAAGGATAACAGTGAAATCATGTTGTGTTCCATTCAGCTTTATATTTTTAGCATCTAGTACTGTGACCATCACATATTTTATAATAATAAGCATTTATCAAATTAATAGTTACTTTACAGGAGAAATACTTCTTAATATGTATTGGCATATTCATAAAAATATTGATAGAAAATCTTGCACTATTTTTGCCATCAGTGAAGCAATAACAAATGGAGGAAACAAGGTGTAGCATCTGTCAACTTAAAAAACGAACAAACAGAACTTGGGCATTTCAGTTAAAGGAATTAGAATAGTTCCACAGTGCTACATGGGTTCTCAGAGTAGTGCCCGACGCTGCGTTGGCAGCAGTGGTATCTATCTAGCTTTATGTGGCTCACTTATCGCATACCTACTATTCAGTCACATGCAAAGAAAGGAAACTAGGAGTCAGAACTTGCTGTCAAGATAATATGGCTTGTGGATGCTCAAGATTCCTTTGCAAAGAGACAACTGAGAGAGGGCTCTGAGAAATCTGTATACAGTATGTGAGCTGTATGATCTTGCAAAACAGTAAGGAGACCTGTTAGGATGGCCCTAACCTTGGTTCTCCTTAACACCAAAGTTTCAGGGACATACATACATGTAATGTAATTTTCTAACAGTGCTCATCAAAGGAAAAACGAGCTGTCATTGAGGTAGTAATAATTGTTTCATGGGTGGTATTGCTCCAACAGAGCCAGATGAGAAATATGAAGCCAAAAGCATGTAGTTCAGAGCAGTCCTCTTGGCTAACCTGATTATGTAGCATACTACAGAGCTGAGTTGGTGCTTTTCACATCAAACATGTCATTAAGAACTATAGCTGACGGCCTATAGAAGAACACTTTTATGTGATTTTCAACCTTCCTCTTAAAATGTAACATATTGGTATTATTTTTTATTCCCCCAAAGAGGGGAAGATTTAAGGAAAATTGCATTTTATATCTTGATGTACATATAATTCCTTGTTGTAGTAGATTATCTTTTTAATGGAGGTATTTTCACTTGTCTTTGTATTACTGAGTCTAAAATAATGCCCTTCATCTTTGCCTGACTTCAAAAATATCAGCTTAGTCAGTTTTTTTGTGTGTGTGTGTGGGGAAGCCCTGTCTGTCCCTGGTTAGGTTAGATTTCCTTCTTTATTGTTTTCATGGAGTAATCTCATTCCCAGTTTACTGGCCAAGGTCAATTAAACCCTGTAATTCTATAGCTTGACAGGTGTTCATTAAGAGGACACGGGGTGGAAGAAGCAATACATCAGCAAACAAACACTCTGTTTTGATTTGTTTACATTTTATGAAAATTCAAGAAGGATATAGTTAATAGTCTGGTCATTGGGTCAAATTTATCTTGTGATAGCAATAAGTAAAGACATGCCATGATGGCTTGTCATCCTTTCTCAAGGATGATAATGATAGTTACTGGCTTGGAGTTTTGGGCTATCTCCTTAGGAGAATTCAGTGCTGGGGTTGAGCCTCTTAGTGGACCACTACATTCCAAGGCTTCTTAGCCTTTTCCATATTTATCCATAACTGACTTGCTGATTTCCCTAAGATTCATCCCAGGCTGTGCCTGTGTACCACTAGGTGGAGCATTAGACCTCAAATCAAGGGTTAGTTGGTGTGCTAGTGTAAAGCTGGGCATTAGGGACAGGATACACTGTGGAGAGATTTTGCTCATAGAAACAGGTATATGCTGATCAGTGTGGTGTGAAGAAGAAAAGGAACAGTCAAGAACTGGCAAATTAGGGGCTGGAAAGGTGGCTCAGTGATAGAGTGCTTGCCTCACATGCATAAGGCCCTGGGTTCAATTCCTTAGCACCACATAAGCCGAGAAAGCCGGAAGTGGCACTGTGGCTTAAGTGGTAGAGTGCTAGCCTTGCGCTGAATTGCTGAGGTACAGCGCCCAGGCCCCGAGTTCAGGCCCCATGACCCCCCCCCCCAAAAAAAAAAGAACTGGCAAGTTAGAAAACTCTGTGGAATTAGTGTTCAGAAGTGTTGTTGAGGTGCTAAATGAATTTAGCACCTTAATTTCAAGGCTAAGGCCTATGAAGTATGAAATGAAAGCAGTAAAAGAAGTGATCCTGTAGTCCAGAGAGTAAAAAGAAAAATTAATGGCCAATAAATGGGAATTGTGTATACAGGAATACAGATGAGACAGGTATATAGCAATACGTTGGTAATTGTTTCCCTGGGTATAAAAATTACAAGGGAATTTTCTTAATTTTTGCATATTAGTTATTGTATAATTCGTTTTAAATGCTAACAATAAAAATATAACCGAATAAGATAGTAGAGTAAAAGCAGGAGCTTTGTAAAAAGAACATTGGACAAATACCAAGTTCCTATAAAAATATACATGAAAGTAATTGCTTTCACAGATAACCATTCCACATCTATAACATTACCTTCTTAGTTAAAAGAAGCGTATTTTGACCAAAAATGTTTTTCATGTTGCACTATGTTTATCTGTGCCTCACTTAAGCTTCGGGCAATAATTCATGGCTATCCCTTAACACTTCAAGAACTTAGCAGTTAAGATGTTGATAATGCTGTGGAAAGACTGAGTCAATAGAGTTGCTCATTATAACAACATGGTAATGACGCTATGAATGTTTTGTTTTGTTTTTGAGCAGAGTAGGAAAGAGGAAGTGGAGTAAATTACATCCAAGCAGATGGCATTGGATGAATCTAGATCTAGCACTTGCCACAGCACCTGGCACACAGTAAACATCACAAAAAGCTTCTAGAATAAGCGAACTCAATGCTCATTGTTTGCATTTGTATTTGCTATGTATATAAGGTCTCCTTTTTCATTTATTATTTGTATGAACCCTTGAAGAATTCTTTGGTGATAAAGTGTCAATATATTTTTCAAAATCAACTATTAAGTTATATTTGGCATTACTACATTGCAATGTCTGTAAATATATCAAAGGATGACTTATAGTACCAAAATATAGTACATTGTCAGAAATTATATCACAAATACTTTTCTGTTAAAGGAATGAACAATTTTGTAATCACCTTTAATCTTGAATAGCGCACAGCTTGCACCTAAGATAAGAGAGGAATGGATATTGTGAATGTGGATAATGTTTCAATGTAGAGAAATTCTTTATTTGAAACATAGCTATGAAGATATAAAATTGGAAAGAGATGGGGAAAATTTAGAAATAGAGGAGGCAAACCAAATTGGGATAAAATATATTATATATTTATTTTCCTTCCCCTCCTATGACTTTTCTTTCCCCGTTCCCTTCCCTTCCCTTTCCCTTTCCCTTTCCCTTTCCCTTTCCCTTTCCCTTCCCTTCCCTTCCTTTCCTTCCCTCCCTATTTCTTTACCTTTCCCCTTTCTTTACCTTTCCCCTTTCCCTTCCTTTTCCCTTCCTTTCCTTTTCCCTTCCTTTCCTTTCTTTTTCTTTCTTTCTTTTTTTTTTTTTTGGTGGTTGTGGTTGAACTCTGGGCCTGGGCACTGTCCCTCAGCTCTTCAGCTCAAGGCTAGTGCTCTACCACTTTAACCACAGTGCCACTTCCTCTTTTCCTTTCCTCCTTTTCTTTTCCTTTTTCCTTTCCTTTCCCTTCCCTTCCCTTCCCTTCCCCTTTCCTTTTCCTTTCCTTTCCTGTACTGTGCAGCCAAGGCTAACCTCAAATTTATGATCTTCCTGCTTTAGCTTCCTGATTGCTGAGATTTATGTGTGTATGCCACCGCACCCAGATGAGTTCAACTTTTTAGTAACAAATTTATAGTTACCACATTAACCATTTCGAATTATAGTTTTTCTTCCTGAATTCAAAAGAAACTCAACAAGAAAAACATGGAAAATAAAATTCTCTACTTTGATCTTACCATGGATTTTTGTTTTTCATGAAAATATGAAAGTAGCCAGTGACTAAATTATTTTCACTTTCTGTACGTAATTACTTTTCCTATTGGGTTTTTTTTAAGCCACATGTGTGAAGTTTCATGTCTGTCATTTTCCTTTTTGTTTCACAGAGTGAGCTAAAAAGCCACAGCTGTGTTATTTTGATGTATTTAGTTCCAAACACAAGTAGGTAAATAATGTCATTAAAAATAATGATTGTTAGCCAGGTGCTGGTGACTCATGCCTGTAATCCTAGCTACTCAGGAGGATGAGATCTGAGGATTGCTATTCAATGCCAACCTGGGAAGGAAAGTCCATGATACTCTTATCTCCAATAAACTACTCAGAAAAAGCTAGAAGTGGTACTGTGGCTCAAGTGGCAGAGCTTTGAACACAAAGGCTCCGGGACAGCACCCAGAACCTACAAAAAAAAAATCTGTATCCATATCTATACCTAATAATTGTTCTTGTACTTTAGCTCTCAAAATCAAAGAATAAGGGATTAAAATGAACTTCCATGTGAAAAGAGCATGTCAAGAACATAGGTATACTGTAAGTGTATCTCAGTGGTAAAGCAAGTCCTGGGCACATACAAGGCTCTCGGGTCATTCTCCAACATCAACAATAACCTAATCAAGCAAAATGGACTCAAAGAATTGAGCATAAAAGACATTAAGATTATTAAGATAGAAATAGGTGTTTCTTGGGACAGTATTTGTGACACCATACCATGAATAATTTGATAGTGATCAGGACAAACCTGACATTTCCCCAGAATGTATAGGAATGTGGCTAAGGGTAAG